CACGGTTTGTCTCGCAACACTTGCTACTAGTTTCATGTTCCGCTACTGTCGATAATTGTTGTACGACTATCTCCACGTCTCACCGCCATATCTTCTTTGCTCTGCTGTTGCCATGTTCCGGTACTTGGTATTGCTGCTCAGCTGTGGGACTCCAGCCAGTTGAAGAAACATCAAGAACCCATTACACAGAGTGTCGAAGAGTTCACTCGAAAATAAGGCCGCTACAGTGCCCTGTTCGTTGGGCACCCCTTTTCAGGCCGGCGAACCCGGCCCCCTGATGGCCCGAGACGAAGGATTTAGGATGGTTTAGGGCCCGGTCAACGAAGCTGAACAAACTTGCTGCCTTTCGGCACCATGTGGGTCTCTCGTCCTCAAGGCCGATGCCTCCGCTGAGTCCGTTCTACTGCGATCAAAGTGCAATGATGGCCCCCGTGCTCTCCACGATGTGTCGCAGAGAAAGCCTTGGAGCGCACACATCGGTGGGGTTCTGATTTGGGTTCTTTTGGCCACGCGCCTGCCTAAAACGGGCTCCGGAGTTTCCGGCGCTGTCACGAGTGCAATCACTGCTGCATTCACCTTGCAGCTACGACTGCTCTGCGAATTAACTCTCTTATCTTCGTTATTCCATGTTTTTGTTGTTGTTGCTGTCGTTGTTGTGGCTCTTGTTGCCCTGTCCTACTTGAAACACCAGCATGGATGGCCTCATTGTTGTCGCTGGTTAACCACGAATCACATAAGTTTCATAGACACAAACACCGTCGCTGCGCTGCTGCGTGTTACAGCATGCGCACCTTTTGCATCCAGGACTCTTGCAAGCATGCGCACCTAAAACCCTAAACCCTAAAGCTAACGAAAGCTTCCAAGGCCCGCACAAGGCCCCGGAAATGAAGTCGGCGGTCTCAGCCCGGAGTGCCCACTCTCCGTCCACCTGGGCAGGCTGTGAGCTTTGAAGGATCTACAAGGGGGTTGGCAGGACAGGAGTAGACAGAACTCAGTCTCTGAACATGCCCTGAGACATGCTCCCTCCCGCCTACACTACTCGAGATCCAAGGCTACCCGAAAACCTCACAGCGCAACTTCAGCAATCATCCTATTGGGGGTTTGGGGTGTCGGATGGGTGTGGGGATCTCGGGAACCCAGGAAATTGAAGCAGAGCCTTTGCCCGTGAAAGCGAAAGGGGGAGGTTTGTGAGGGCATTTCGAATCTGACGAGTACTTTGGGTTTAGATGGGGTTACGCTCTCACAACTCGCACAAACCAGGCGAGGATCCATGGGTTCAAGTCGGCGTGATACAGTGTCGTTCGCGTCAAAGCACTGACGGAAACTTGCGATGGGCAGGATCCATTTCCACACGCTGACGAGCTGGCATTACGGACCATCGATGCTGTGCTAAGACTTTAAGTAGCCCAGGGGCCGCCAACCGAAAAGCCTGCATCTCAGCTCAGGGCCATCATGGATCTAAAGCCACCGGCAGTCAGAGGCCGCAACCTCAATCAGACGGAGAGAACTTTGAGGGATCTGGGCTTCAGGGTTCGGCGTACTGCGATGTGCCCCCGTTTCTTCGCTTCCTACAGCAAGAAAGACGCCCTTGAGCCCGATGGCTTCGATGGAAACACACCACCCGAGGCTGCCACACTCCGTCGACATCCAAAAAGATGACCTTCGCCGGATCTTCCACCTCGGGCAGCCAAGGTTGCTACAAGAGGGACTCGGGGAAGCAGGTCTTGCTTTGGCTCTGGGTGGCGGCAGGTCCGACTTGGGGGACATGGCCTGGGAGCTTCGGACCTGAAACCTCAATGCTTCTCCGCTGCGAAAGCGGGAAACAGCGAAACCTTGCGATCTATAACGACATGGGCACTTTCACCCTTTTTTGACGGGACAGCCTTCATCAATTGCCCGAACCCTACATCCAGAAGACTCCCAAGAGCCCTGAGGCTTCGTCCGGCAAAGGCGGGAACCGGTGCTGCTTCCAGGTCGCTTGCCTCAGCGACCGCGGCGCCCAGGCTGCTAGCAGCTCATTTCAGAGCCATGAATATGAAGGTTTTCTGTGGGATAGCGCTACGCGATTTCCGACCTGTCACCATTCCAACAACCTCACGTCAAGAAACCAAGAAGCATTCAACCATCCCCTCTAAAGCCAAGCCGTCAATCTTTCCACTCTCAAGCTTGAACCCCAGACCTTAGAGAGCCTAAACCTCTTCGTAGGATTGATGACTTCTCTCTGACCCTTTCCTTAGCAGAGCATGCGGAGCTGTCTTCCAATTCACCGTTGCAGGTTTGGCATTGCCTGGTAGAAGTCGGAGGTCAATGGCTTTGATGGCTGTTTTTGTGCAACGAGAGTCAGACTAAATGTGCTTGGGGCACGGGACAAATGACCCTCAACATCACGGATCTCTGTGTGAAGGCACCCAATCTTCCTCACATGACGTGCTCAGCCAGTGCAAAGCTTTAGCTCTTGAGATTCATGTAAACACGCCAGGAGACTCTCACACATCCCACAGGCTCCTTTGCATACGCATGCCAAAAATCCTGGAATTGGAGTTGCTTCCGGGACTTCTGAGGTCCACACTCCTTTACTCGTTGCGCCATGGCTTGATCCTGACGAAAGCGCTGGGTTTAGGGTGTGGGGCCTAGCAGTTTAGCGTGTGGCCTTCGCTTCTCAAGCTCGGTACGGGCGAAAGTCAGCCCTGAACTCGGCATTCAAAGCTGAAGCAAGATCCCATACAAGCCAGTTCCGTCAGGGTTTCTGCAATAACCTGAGTGATGACATTGCCCTTCCCCCTCACGATATGATTCTGGCTCTCACCTGAATTCCTGCTTCAATTATCAGACAATCAACCAACATGTGCGTGAAACTGCCATCACAGCTTTGGCAACAAACTTCATACCTACCAGCCAACAGGTTGGCCAGTAAGCAGCCACTAGAGTGGCAAACCCTCAAGCAAGTAAAGCCGCACCCTGAAGCCTGTTGCAACCTGCTGAAGAAACCCAGCGGTTCCTATGGGGGGGGGGCTTCCAAATTGACCCTTTCAATCTCATTACTGTTACAAGTCGTGTTGTTAGTTGGTGTTACTCCTCCTGTTATTACGAACAAAAGTTAAAAGTATCACTACTTCTGTACTTGAAAAATCAATCAATGGCCTTCCTTCAGGTATTCTCCGATACGAGAATCCCTGGTCTGCTTCTCAATGGCCAATGGCCTTTTCCGGATCGGGCGGTGGTAGCCCTCCATATAGACTTTCCAGGATGTCATCGGCCTGCGCCTGCGGGTGTTCACCCCACTCCAGAAAAGACTATTTGAACAAAATAGAACGCTGCCAGGACGAGGCCTGAAGCAAAACGCAATGAAACCAGAGAAAGAGCCTCAAGACACAACCTCATGACCTCATGCACTTCCCACTTCCTGCTGGGTGTTCTTACTTCAAGCCTTTGTTTGCACTGTCAAGTCAATCCCAGTCTTCACAAGGAAGTTGGCCCTCACCAGGATAGAAGTCGGGGCCTTGGACGACTTCTTGGCTCTCTCGGCCGCTTCCTCCTTCTGCCTTTTGACTTCCTGGCAAAGCAGAGCGGAAGCAAACGGGACAACAGAACTGAAGCTGAAACACCCACGGTTTGTTTACTGTGCAAGCTTACTCGGGAACCCTGTGGCCGTCGGGACCCTCAAGAAGTTTGGCATCTGTGCAGAGGTTTGAGGCCCTTTGACAACCTGTCCTGGCCTCTTTCGGACCTCACGTTTTGTGCTTTTGGTCAAACTGCCAGCAATCAATCCCCCAGTGCCAGCGTGGCCATCCAACACCTAGCCTCAGCAGCCCAAGCTGGCAGTCCTGCCTGTTGCAGCCACAAGCCTCTAAAACTGCAAGTACGAAATCACAGACACCAAGAAAGAGTTTGCGGAAGTGATCAAACAGAAATCACAAGATGACGAGCACACAGGCCTCCATCTTCCGTTTCTTCCTCGCCTCCTCCACACCCGCCTTCCACAGACGTGGGCATTACGCAGTCTGACTGGTTCCGGGCCCGAAGTTGGGTCAGAAGCTTCGGGGCAGATGGAACAAGGTTCCACCTCTTGGTCAGACTGAGCTCTTGTGATGGATCTACGATGCGACACGGCCTTTCGGGTTTCGGGCCGGCTACATGCAGTTCGCAACATGAGAAAAGTCAGACTGGGTTAGGGCGAAAACTACAGGGCAGTTACAAGTAGATCATGTGAGATCCTGCTCTCCGGGCTTGCAGCACCGACGTTCCAGATCACTGAAGAAGCAACCACGAAGACAACGGCCATGCGAAGCCTTCACCCGCTCAGCGCGCTCCTCCGAACAGGCTCATGGTGGCTTTGGGGATGCCTTTAAGCGCTTGCCAGATCTTCTCGGAATTGCGGCATCAGGGTCGTGTGCTTCTATGTTGCCAGGTGGGCTTGGGATGCTTGATGTTGTCGGGGCTTCGGCAGCTGCTCGAGGATGCGGGCACTCCTACAGACAAAAAGAGTGGTGCCCTGGCGGGCGCAGTCGAGCATCGTGACATCAAAATCTGGAGCCTTCTACCCTTGGGGTTTGCATGTTGCTGGCAACTGAGCGACTGCAAAACCCGGAACACATCAGCTGCAAGATCGATCGAACGCATCAACCGATCGACAAGGTTTCGATAGTTTCCATTGCTGTTGTTTACAGGATAGCCTTTCGCGATGGAATCCAATGGCATCCAGCTGTCCCTTCAGTGTAGACAACGAAACCCAAGCCATTGTACATCCTAGCACCGCACACCCGCGCCTTTGCGACGCGCTCCCTCTCGGCCTGACGCACCACTGTGTCTGATGCACCAAATAGCATGCACATGGCAGCGACACTGCTACAGCGACCCCTGAACTTCCCCGACGTCATCCAAACTGGGGCTGCCTAGGCCTTGAACCTCTAGCCGCCTCTTGATTCCTTCCATCTCGTTCCCATCCTTCCCGAAACGAAAGAACCAGCGCCAGCCCACTGCAAATTGCAAGTCTTCAAGCCTCAGTCCTTGCCATCCTTGGATGCTAAGTTCCGGGCAGCTGTCGCAGCTGTGCGGGCTTTCAACTGGGCCATCGGATCCTTGGCCTCAGCGACGAACCAGTCCAAGGGCTGTGTACAACAATCGCATTGTATTGCAGTCCAAACAAGGCTTCGACTGCTGCCCAGTCGAGTATAGGGCCGTTGACAAGTCGCAAGTGTCACACAGCACAGACACAAACAGCAAATCACACAGCCTGAGGTCTGACAGAAGCCAGGAGCCTTGAATCTAACGATGAAGGAATGCTCATGTACCCACGTAGGCAGGCTTGGAGGCCGAACGGGTTCTAACTTCTGAGAGGAAAGTCTAAAAGCAAAGAGGGCAAAAGGAAGCAGCCCTGAAGTAACGGAAATGCGGCACACATTTTCATGAGGGCTCGCAGATGCCATGGCCCAGCATGAGTGCAGCTTTCTTGCCAACCGGCTCCGTAAACATGGTGCGGAACCACCCGTCGCAGTTGCGAGCGACCTTTCAGGCGCGTGATAAGGCTGAGGCAAAGGGATTTGCAACGTTTGGTATGTTTTTTTTTGGAATGTGTTCCACACCTCCTCCGGCGCCACGAGGCAAAGCGTCGCCTCCGGAAAGGATCGTGCCAGGCACTTGGTGATCAGGGTAGCAGCCTCCACTTGGCACTTCAAGTTCTTGCCCCAAGGAAGGTTCGAAGCGATCAAAAGTCCCCGGCCCGTGCTGCTGACTGCAGCAGTTGGGGGTATGGGCCAAGGCTCCGTGGCATCCCACTCCCTGACCCCGATGCCTGGGACTGGCTTCTCCGAAAGCTCGGTGAGCTCGAAGGTCTGTTTCGGGAAGGCGGCCTCCAAGTTGATGCGCGCCCTCTTCGCCAGAGTGGGATTCACGTCCCCGGCAAAGATAGGCCAGTCCTTTTGGCAGTACTTCGCTGCAGCTGCCAGGGTCCCCGTGCCACAGGTGGCATCCAAGAAGGCTCTGGGCGCTTGGGACCAAAGACGCTGGTGCAGCCGCAAGCCCAGGCCAAGCATAGCCAGGGCCGCCAAGGGCTCCAGCGCGGCGCTGTAGTCCGGGAAGGGCCGAGCCCTCCAGCTCGTGCCGAACTCCGTGGGCGAGTAGGCATCGAAGCCCAAGTCATCCTGAGCCAACAAAAACAAATCTTCCCTTCCAACGATCTGCACCGTGACCACGCTTGCAGTGTCAGCCGCGTCCTCCGCGTCACTTGCATCACGCAACGGCCCCGCAATCGCTCTTCCTAGCTGGGCGGCCATGAAGCCGCAGGACTGCGCGTACGGAGCCAAGGACTCGTAGCGTGGCTGATACGGACCCTCATGTTCCAAGCTCCAGCCGCGAGGGAAGTCGAGTTTCACCTTGCCAGCTTGGGCCACCAGATCGTTCCGAGAGCCCGGAAAAGTAAGCAAACGCAAGCATCGCCTTAAACCGGCCACGTGCCACACATCGTCTGTCTTGAATGTGCCCTCGCGCAGTAGAGGGGGCTCGGGACTGCTGGATTTGCCCCTCGCTGGATGAGCTGGAGACAGAGCAGCATCCTTGACACGCAGTCGGAACAAGCCCTGGCCGACTTCTTCCAATTGAGCTGCTTCGCGCCAAGCTTCCCGCAGGTCCAGTGCTAGCACTCGCTCCCAGCGATCACAGGCACACATGAGTAATAACGGCTCCTCAAGTGAGAAGTGGCAGGCTGCATCCTTCATGGCTTGTTTGCGTGCGGCTGATGCCAATGCCGTGGCCTCGTGGACAGCCGTCGGCACCCGCTGTCTTTTTCCCGGCTTGGCGGGTGTTTTGGGCACCCAGGCCCGTACACACTGCAATGCACAGGAAGCACCAACTTGGCAAATACGAAACTCGCCAAGCCGCTCAAGCTGGACCACACCTGGGCACGAAAACATGCCTTCAGTAGCGCGTTGGCCACATGGTCGATTAGAATTCCCGAATCCACGAAATCCTGAATTATCCGTGTCCTCCAAACTTGGATTGCTCAGACGGGTCGGTCGGCGAGTCTGCACCAACGCCATGATATCCATCCTGCAAATTCTACACAGAATTGTGATTCAAAGCCAAAGGTTGACCTGTCGCAAGGCTTCCCGATGTTTGCCAAAGGGATGAAACTCATTCATTGTTGGCAGTGCTGTGTTGTGTCAGGTGCATGGAATCTGAATGCTTCTTCGCAACACAGGTCGATGCCCCAATGAACCCCTATAACCATGTACCGAAGCAACCGCTAAATCTTTCATTTCGCGAGCAAAAGCTGCCACTGCACCTGCGTGGAACGGCCATGATGATGAACCAGTTCAGGCCACAGCGCCGCCAACCATGGCTCACAAAATAGGCGCCCACCGGCCTGAGTCAGCAAACGTTCATCAAGTCCCATCGTATCCACTGCTTTCCCATTGAATTACAGGGAATCACTGCCCCACCCCCACCCACCCACCCACCCACCCACCCCCACCCCACCCACCCCACCCCCCCCCACCCCCCCACCCCCCTACTCAATTTTAGACTCAGGAACATCTCCGTGCCCAGCGACCAAGTCGGCAGGACCGGGCTGCAAGGCCACCTGCAAGAACAAAGCCGCATGTTGGTTCAGACACATGGGTGGTTGTCAATATTATGGTCCTTGTTATAGTACGGCACCTATTATTTAGGGTGCCCCAAAAGGAAGCATAATTTTGACAACTACCCACATGAGTACCGAACATTGCCGAACAACAAGCTCCATCGAATTCTCAACGCATTCCCTGACGAACGAATTGCGCACCCAGCATCGTGAATCCACCTATGCAAGCACCCATTGCCTGCACGTGTAAGTCGCGTGAGGCAGCCACCCATGACCTTCGAAACGGCCATAGGACAGACACAGTGCTCCTCCATCACACAAACCCGCACCTACCAGTCTTCCAATCAGCTTGCCAAGCAGCACTACATTTGGTCCGGGCCCATCGGATTTATTCTCGCTGCCCGTGGCTCCCAAGCTGTCAAACTCGCATTCGCATTGAATTGCTGTGACCTGGACAATCGTTTCAACCAACTCTTGGTGGCACAGTTTTCTTTTCCTACATGTCCTGCGATGGGATTGTACCGAATGCGTGCGCCTCCGCGGCATCATCGAACAACACCGTCTTGCAGCAAATGATGTAGCAATGTCGAAGCCTCACCTTCTCTCCAACAGAAAATCGCCTCGGTTCTCTCCAACTCGACACTGCGCACCCTACCACGTCCTGCGAAACGTGTATCCACCGATGTCCAATGGCCAACAAAGTGACGGTTCCGAATCGCCAGCCTGCCGCAACACACACGCCTAGACCGGTGTGTGCCACGTCGACAGGGTCATCAATCAAATTAGGAATATCGAGCAGCCGATTGCAACTGATCGACCCGGAATTGAGTAGCACGGGCACTCAGGAAACGGAGTGGGAGCGTGTGGCGATCCATCTTTGTGCACAGAAAACATTTCTCAGCATTTTTCGTCGTGTGGTGTCTCGCACTCGGGCAAAGCATGTCAAATGTCCCAGCTGCTCTTCGGGGAAACCTTCCCAACATTTTGTCTCGCTTCGTTCACCCGCGCAGGCAAGGAAGCCTTGAAGCATCGTGCCCTCCGTGAATTTCGCTTGCCGCAACCTCAACTGGGCGAAGATGTGTACCTCGTTGCCCAAGAACGACAAAACCGAACTTCCCTGAAAGTCGTTACCGGGCATTTGTTTTGCCAGCTGTCAAGGGGAATAAAAAAAGAAGAAGGCGTTATTTTAAGCTTTTAAGAGGGGTTTAGGTTACCCAACTTTTAGCAGGAGGGGATGGTTGGATCGCATCGATCCAGCGTGCAAAGGGGGATTCCGCTAAAACGCAATGATGCCACGTATGTGTGTCTGGAATGAGTGCTTGTTTTTGATATGTTGTGATTGTGATGCCACTTGTGTCTCGAGCGTAGGCATGGGTAAAATGCGGCCGCCACGGCTGCTACGAGGGGAGGGTTCAACTCGCATCAACCAGGGTCCTCGCGTGGGCGTGTACATGGGGATACGCTCAGAAAGCAATTCGTTTGAAGTCGTGTCCAACCGGAAAGCACCTGGGGATTCCGAGGTAATGCTCGGGA